AGGAAATGACGTAGGTCACATTGTTCTTACACAGCAGAGGCGAGAGCGAACTGGGACGGTCAGAGCCCATAACTGTGATTTTCTTTCCCAAAGATAGTTTTTCAGTGTGGATATGTGAGTGCCTACATGTATATATATGCACCATATGCATACTTAGTGCCTGGAAGAGGCTGTCAGATCCTCTGGACATGGAATTATAGCTGGTTGTGACTTACCATATGGGTGCTCAGAATTGAACCCCGGTCCTCTGCAAGAGCAGACCACTGAGCCATCTCTCCAGTCCCCACACCAGCTCTTTTAGCCACAGTGCTGTACTGCCTAGCACCCCAAGCTCAGATTTCTTCAGATATTTTCCCCCCAAAAGACCCACATCCACGTTTCTGAACCTGTGAATATGTTACCTTACATTGCAAGAGGGACTTTACAAGGTGATTCGATTAAGGAGTGTGGAGATTGTACTGGATTCTAAGGGTTCCAGTGCCATCACAAGAGTCCTTAGACTGAGACAGACGTGTTGGAGTCTGAGATACAGTTAGGGAAGCAGGATTGAAACCACGGGATGCTGGCTATGGAGAGGGAAAGGGATGTGAGCTGAGGAATGTGGGCTGCCCTGAAAAGCAGAAGTAGGCAAGCAAGGACCCATTTCTCCCCATTTCTGACACAGTGCTGTCTGCTGCAGCCAGTGAGACTTCTGGCCTCCAGATCAGAAGGCAACACATTTGCGCTGCATTATGCTTCCCAGTCTGTGGTGATTTGCTAGAGCAGCCTCAGGAAATACATCTAGCTCTCCACAGAACCCTGAACTGTTTGGTAAGACATTCTGGGACTTGCCCAAACCTGGGGTCAGCTTCACTGTTCCTTGACTCCCCCATGTTGTACAGGTTGACCGTCTCCAGCATCTGTCACAGGCCATGCTCCTTCATCTAAGCTTTCTCCGTATCATGTCTTCCACCTGGAACACCCCGTCCTTGTTTACCTGGCAGAGACCTTGTCTTTTACATCTCAGCTCAAGTGCAGCCTCTTCTGGGAAGCCTTCCACACTTCCTCAGAGGGCTTTGGGCCACTTCCTCTGTGGTCCACTACATTTTGTATTCACTCGGGTAAAAACAGTACCCGAATTTTAAGGACCTCTCTAGTCCCTCCCTGGAGTGTAAGCTATTTGAGAAGAATAGGGTTTCCTCTTTCATTGTTGGTATCCTTTAGCAGCCATAAATGAAGGCCGCTAAGGGCTAGGCTCTTTCTTGACCACCAGCATGCCCTGCACCAGTGATGTGGTACTCTGACTCCATTTTCCCACCAGTCGTGTGATTTGTCAAACGACCACTCTCTTTCCTAACAAGAGATGAGGGTAGAGGAAATGAGACCGTGTGTCCGTGTTAAGAGGGAAAGGCGCTGGGCTGGAATGTAGCCCACTGAGGTGGTAGAGTGCTCATCTAGCAAACGCAAAGCCGTGTGTTTGATCAGCAGCAGCGTACGAACTGAGTGTGGTGGTGCACACCTGTAAGCCCAGCACTGAGGAAATGGATGCAGGAGGATCAGAACTCATGACAGCCTGTCTCGAAGGAGAAGGAGGAGGGAGAGAATGATGACAAGGTGGGGGGGGGGGAGATTATAATAATCTGATAGTTCCCACTGCATACACAGCTTCCTCTTCAGGTCTCACTCTCTTGGACTGAGACATGAGTCTGGAGAGGAGCTTCACAACAGAGGGCCATGTCTGCCCTGCTCTTTCCTTATCACATCTGCAGCATTTACACTGTTCCGTCTCAGGTGAGTTCTCCCAGGTTGACAGGTGACAATCCTGCAGAAGGCTTTCCCACATTCTTTGGATTCCTGAGTTCTTCCTAAGGTGCACACTGCTATTTGGAACCACTGGGACCACAGGTTTCCCCATAGGTAATTGAACTCCATTTCAAGGTATTGTGAAAGATGTCGTGCAATCTCCAGACTGTTCCCAGGGCTCTCCATGATGCATCTAAAGGCAGGGATTCTGTCTACCAGGAATTTAATTGCTGTTGTACAATATGTTTCTCCACCCAAACAAGCTGTGGACCTTAATGACTCCAGTGGCCACCTTTCAGTGCACACTCTCCCAGATTTAATGAGGAGCAAAAGGAAAAAAAGGCTCCATCAAGTCCTACAACAATTCATCCCTGTGCTCGGGGTTCTAAGAGACTCTAAAATGGGCTTGCTCTCTACACATTTACACCCTGCCCAGGGAACCAGGACTCAGGTGGGTTATGCAGCTGGACAGTATCAGGTGTGGTATAGTCAAATATATCACGAAGCACACCTTATGCAGTGGAATTAGAATTCAGAGAACGGAGAGTTCAACCGGGGCTTGACAAGATGGGGAAGGTGGTATAAAGGACACAAAGCTGAGCTGAGGAGCTGTGGAATGAAAGGCAGATGGGAAGAGGGTGTGACTGACGGTAAACTGAGGGCAGCCTGATGTAGGGACTCACTGCTAGGTTCCCCGGGGAAGCGGAAAGGAAAGGGATGGGGGTGGGGAAGAGGAAAGAGGAAGCAGGGGAGAGAGAAAGGAAAAAAGGAAGAAGGAAGAGGGAGGAATGGAGAGAAGGAGGGAGGGAAAGAAGGCAGGGGTAGAGGGAGGCAAAGAGGGCTGGGGAAGGAAGGAAAGGGAGGAGGAAAGGAGAGAAGAGAGGAAGGAAGAAGGAAACGAGTGGAAGGAAGAATGGGAGGAAAGAAGGGAGGAGGGAAAGGAAGGGACTCTTACCACCACCCCTTTGTTGAGGGGCATTTTTTTTTTTAGAGACAGGGTTTCTTGGTGTAGCCTGGAACTCACTCTGTAGACCAGTCTGGCCTCGAACTCACAGAGATCCACCTGCCTCTGTGTCCCAAGTGCTGGGATTAAAAGTGTGCACCACCACCGCCCATCAGGACTCTTATCCCTATAGTGACCTGCCCTTTGATTTGGGAAACTCCACACTTGGGACAGCATTTTGACCATGTTATTTCTCATGCCTGTCTCACTGTCTAGCCTCAAACACTTCCACTGCTGCCAGGGAAGCCTGAAAAGGGACTGCTTTCCTGGGCACAGCAGCTTCTCCCTTAGCATTCTCAAGAGCCATCCCAGTTTCTTGACCCTGGGTCAAGGTGCTTTGGAGACAGAGCCACAAAGTTGCGGGGAGAGCCCCAAGTATGAGAGGACCCTAGAAGATCATCAAGAGACTAACACAGCATGTCCCAGCTCCCATCCGCTTCCCAGTTATCACACCCTCTCAAAAGTCTCCACATGGGATGTTGATGCTTAGGGAAATGAGGCTGAACAGATTCAAAGGCTTCTTGCTTATGTTGGTTGATAGGAGTTGTGCATTTAGAGTAGAGAACATTTCCTAACTTGGGGTGTTGTCTGGGGCAGATAAGCAAGAAGGGGTCATTTGTAGCATCTTGCCTTACTGAGACAGTTGGAAGACTTTTCTTCTGATTACACTGGCTAAACACCCACCCCACCTCTAACAACCACAGGAGGAGTTAGAGTCTTCCTTCACGGACAAGTCTCACACCACACACAGGGGGAACCGCCTACCACTGTAGTTAGAGCCAAGGAGAGTGGATTTCTTTCCCCACAAGATGGCTGCCCTCTGGGTCAGGGCATGGGAGCTGTTATTTCCTAACTGGGCGAAATGGTAAGGGCCATTTGCAGCCCTTCATAACTTCCATTGTTTAAAGGGTGTGTGGGCAAGCTGAGCATGTTCATGTGTCCACATGTGTCTCGAGGTCAGGCATCAACACTGTATGTCTTCCTCGGTCGCTTGCCATCTTGGCAAGCCTGACTGACCAGCAAACCCCAGACAGTCTCCGGGGCTGTGCCTGGATGACAATGTGGGCCTCCAGTGGATGCTGGAGATAGAATCAGGTCCTCATGCTTGTTTGGCAAGCATTTTACAATCCAAGCCCAGCCTCCAAAGAGCTTGGTTTTTTGTTTGTTTGTTTGGTTGGTTGGTTTTTCGAGGCAGTGTTTCTCTGTGCAGTCCTGGCTGTCCTGGAACTAGCTCTGTTGACCCAGATAGGCTGGCCTCTATCTGCCTCTACCTCCCATGTGCTGGGATTAAAGGTGCGTGCCACCACTGCCCAGTAAGGGCTTTTTTTTTTTTTAACACAGAAATTTTAGACTCTAATTCTGCTCATTTCCTGTATCACTTCAGAGGATGCTGAATTCAGGAATGGAGAAACATTTTCCACTGGAGAACAATGTGGTGCCTTCAGGGTCATGCCATGGGAACATCTCATTAGAACGCTCTCCATTCCTCCAAGCAAGGCATCACTTTGTGATGTGAAGAGCTGAGGAAGGAAAGCTCTATGAGACCACAGTGAGCAGCGCAGCCGTGAGCTTGCTCTGTCTGTCTCCCTTAGTGTCTATCCTCCCTGGTCAAGCATGCCCCTCACTCTGCGGCAGGAGGCCTACCTTCCCCCAACATCAAAAGAGCTACTTTGTGACTATCACAGGACCTGGTCCATAGCCTCTATAATGTACATGCTTGTCAAATGAATTGGCTATAAACATGGAAAGGATTCCCTTGAAAAGGTTTGTGGTGTTGTTCAGATGTTGACAGTTAGGTTACTGATATTTGTGTGCTGTGAATGGGAAGGGACACTACTGGGCAGTAAGAATGAAACTTGTGTCGGGGCTCTGAAAACCCCTAGAAGCTCATATTGTATCTAATGAATCGTCTTATGGTGGTCTGGTATGGTAGGGTCACACTGAGTCTTATGGTGGTCTGGTATGGTAGGGTCACACTGAGTCTTATGGTGGTCTGGTATGGTAGGGTCACACTGAGTCTTATGGTGGTCTGGTATGGTAGGGTCACACTGAGTCTTATGGTGGTCTGACACAGTAGGAAGCTCCAGGGATGGCTTTTGTAGCTGAACACTGGATGATTTGGCTGCGTGGGTGTCAAGACACTGGCAGGAGTTCTAGTGAAATTTGCCTATTTATTTATTTATTTATTTATTTTCTTTTTAATTTCCCGAGACAGGGTTTCTCTGTGTAGCCTCCATGGCTGTCCTGGAATTCGCTTTGTCGACCAGGCTGGCCTCGAACTCACAGAGCTCGATTTTTTTGTGTGAACCTCCAGAGATGTAGCAGACTGATGGCCGAGGTACAGCTGGCATAACCCCTGCCAGGGAGGAAGAAGATGTCTCCGGACTCGGCTGAGGAGTTCTTCAAAGAGAAAGATTTGTCTTTCTCCTGAGAGCCTCCTGAGAGCGGAGAACATGTCTCCTGTGTTGCACTGCAGAGCTAAGTAGCCCACCTTGCTCACAGTAGCCGCTTGATAAGTGCCAGCTTCGTGAACACACAGCAGGGCTGGCTCTGGGAGCTGTGGGTCCTGGGAGTGCTTGTGGGGGCTGCTTATCACCTTCTCTCCTCCCGCTTCTGTGGCCTACTTGTTGACCCAGTTTTCCTTTAAGCCAGAAGATGTTTCTAGGGGCCGCTGCTCTTGAAGTGACATGTGCAAGTGGAGAAGGAGACAGGACCTCAGCCTGCACGTTGGACCACTCCCTTCCTTCTCCAGCGGGTGCCCACTGGGCCCGAATCCATGTGTTTTGTAGGATTCCACTCAACCCCTTACCTACTCATCAGTCTTCCAGTCACATTCCCTCCAGCCCTTCTCCCTTTCATCTCATCCCAGCAAGCAGAGACTCGTCGTCACTGGAAGCTGGTGTTACCAAAATGTGCACACAACCACGCGGACTCACACAGCGCACGCGGATACACACACCTTTCTCAGTCTATGAGCCTTTGTCTGGCCCTTTGCTGTGGGGCCTGGCCCATCTTTATGAGATCTAGGCTCTTCCTATCCCAGGATGCTGAATCTGGCCTCTGATGGACAGAGCTGGGCATTTTGCACGTCTCCAGCCTTGCCTTCCCTTGGGGGCTTACAGAAGATCCACCCATATGGCAGAACCTTCCAGAGAGACTTGAAACCAGGAGCCTGACCTCATGATGCCCGCAGCACCTGGCACAGAAGGTCCCAGCTCTGATGTCCTGGCCCCAGCCCAGTTCTCTCTTCTAGAATCCACACCTTCTCTGGCTCTCCTCCAATCCTACAAAATCAGCCCCAGCTTGGAGAGAATAAGCATGGCCTCATGAAGGGCATGGTAAGGAAAGAAGAGGTCTCTGCTGAAGGACCTCGGCCAACTCACTCCTTGCTAGTGTGTCTCAGTTTCCCCTGGAGAAACTCTGCCCATGCATCCGTGGTTACAAAGGATCTCAGAACTGCCAGAAAACCCTAGTTATGTCCTGCTCCCTTGCTGCTGGGAGCCACCCGCCCTACCCCTTGCTAGTTGATGACGCTTGCCCAGCCAGGCAGGGTCCTGCAGGATGGAAGTTCCAAGAAGCCCGAGCAGGAATAATAATGATAATCATCAACAGTGACGGCGGGCGGCGTCTTAGCCACCCGGGAATGCAGGGCCCCACGCCCTGTGCCTCACACCCCAGGACACGGCAAGGGCTCTTTTCCCTGCATTTTATTGCAACGATCCCACACTCTGCCATTCCCAGCCCAACCCATCCGAGTTTCCAGCAGCTTCAGTCCAGCCACCAGCCTCATCTACCACCCAGGCTCCATGGGAAGATTTGACTTAACGAGACCAAGTCAACAGTAGAGAAGGATGCCCAGCTGCTCGGAAACTCCAGGCTTTCCCAGAGAAGCTACCCACCCGCCCCTGGCCCCGGGCACTTTCCCACAGACTCATCTGTGTCTGGTCAGTACAAAGGCCAGAAGCCTTGCAAGTGTCGTTCTGAATCTCTATTTCCAAGTCACTCACTAACAGGCCCTAGACAAGTTTTGTCTTGACTTCTACTTACCTAGAAACTTTCCAAGGCTTGTACTGCTCATGAGTGAGAAACGGGTCTAGATTAGGGAGAACATCTCTCGTTTCCGATACACATTAGCAAGCCTTCATATCTCCCATATTCTTCACTCGCCAGGCTGAGGTAACTACCCAGTGCGCCGCACGCGTCCCCTGCTTCTCCTTTTGTGGGGTTGGTTCCTTCTTTGGGAATGCCAATGCCTCCATCCCTCCTTGATCAGATTCTCTGACCCTTCAAGGCCAGGCCTTGACTCATGACTCTGACTCCCACCCCACTCTGCTTCCTCTTCATCAGAACCTCTCAAGTCCCTATCCATCTGTGCCATAGTTATCTTCACATCTTAACTTATCCACCAGGTCATCTGTGCCCTGGCGTCTCCTCCATGCTCGTTGGTACAAGACTTTCCAGCCAAGGCATAAGCTCAATGAAGATGTGTTGGATATAAATTGTGGAGGAGAATCATTTCTACCCTGTTAAATTCCTCACACAAATGTACTTTTAAATGGAACGCATAATTATTTTTACTACAAAATGTAATTGGTGTGGAGAGAGAGAAAAGAACAAGAACCCCACCCTACCTTTCTTGTCAGGTGGGCTCCAGACACCTAAACCTCAGTGAAGACTTCATCCCTGGGGCTTTGGCCCGTAGGCTGACACATGTAATGCTTTCTATGACCAGTCACTGACCCAATTCATTATTGGCCTCTGTCTAGAAGGAGGTATGCTCTTCCTTCCATAGAGAAAGACAGCTCCCCTCTTTCATCCCCAGCAGCCTCCATGCCCCATAGGACTCATATACCACAGGGACCCCTAGGTTCACATGGTGTTAAGAGATCAAGAATTGAGCCGGGCGGTGGTGGCGCACGCCTTTGATCCCAGCACTCGGGAGGCAGAGCCAGGCGGATCTCTGTGAGTTCGAGGCCAGCCTGGTCTCCAAAGCGAGTTCCAGGAAAGGCGCAAAGCTACACAGAGAAACCCTGTCTCGAAAAACCAAAAAAAAAAAAGAGATCAAGAGTTGGAGTTCTATAGACCCCTGGCCTAGATGTTCACTCAAACCCCTTGGGGGTACATATGCCCCAGCTGTTAATGTTGTTAATAATAGTAACAATAACTGGGCAACGTCCTGTATTTACCTAATGCTTTTCTCCAGGGAGCTCAACTAATCTTTCCCTCATCTCCAGAAGGAAGGGAAGGACCAAGGCGATGAAGGACAAGTGAGCTATTGCAGCCACACTCCCGAATACAAGCACCCTTTGTCCTGCAGGATAAACACAGTCCTTGGTACTGCAGATGTGAGTGCTAATGAAGTAGAGAGGCGGCGCATTCTCTGAGGTCCAAGACCCATGATGTAAAAACGTTTGCTGAAATTAGAGCAGTTGTGAGGTGACAGTCCCCCACATCAAGGTATTACATCTGGTGGTTGTTATTTTGAGACAGGGTCTCACTGTGTAGCTCTGGCTGTCCTGGAACTCACTATGTAGTCCAGGCTGGCCTTGAACTCAGAGATCCACCTGACTCTGCCTCCTGAGCATTGGGATCAAGAGGGTGCACCACTATGCTCAGCTAAGGTATTCCATCTTATCAGCAATAGCATTTGAACGTTAACCCTCAATCTGTGTTTAATTAGTGTGTGTGTGTGTGTGTGTGTGTGTGTGTGTGTGTGTGTGTGTGTGTGTGTGTTTTCAAAAGTTATATGTCTGTGGGCTTGTTAGTAGAGACTAAAGGAAGTTACCGGGAGTCCTGCTTAATCACTCTCCATTGTTCTTGAGACAAGGTTCTCTCACTGAACCTGGAGAGCTAGGTTGGTAGCAAGTCCCAGTGATCCTCCTGTCTCCATACCCCTACCCCAGCCCTGGGGTTACAGATCCACGGACTCAGCCACACTCAGCTTTTTTTTTTTTTTTTTTTTTGGTTTTTCGAGACAGGGTTTCTCTGTGTAGCTTTGCGCCTTTTCCTGGAACTCACTTGGTAGCCCAGGCTGGCCTCGAACTCACAGAGATCCGCCTGTCTCTGCCTCCCGAGTGCTGGGATTAAAGGCGTGCGCCACCACCGCCCGGCTACACACTCAGCTTTTGACATAGTTTCTGGGATCCAAACTAAGGTCCCTATGCTTTCAAAGCCAATGCACTTCCCCCAGGCTGGCATCGTGTAGCCCAGGCTGGCCTTACACTTGCTATGCAGTGGAGGCTGGCCCAGACCTCCTGCTCCTCTTGCCTCCCCCTCCCAAGGCGTGCATCACACCTGGCTCAGTTTTTTCTATATTGTACGCACATTAAGACCTCAAGCCGTAGTATATATTTGAGGTGAGTCTCATTTTTTAACAATGGTCCACTTCCAATTGTTGCCTTAATAATGGCAAACATTATTTTGGCTGTCTTCCTCTTGGACCTCATTACACAGTCACTATTTTAACATCGTAATGGGACTATTGACAGAGACATATGAAGAAGAGGTTCAACTTTGTTTTTTCCTCCTCCTCCTCCTTCTTCTTCTCTTCATTTCTTTTTATCACCCTTTTTCATTTTAAAAAGGTGGGTTTTTTTGCCAGGCAGTGGTGGCACATGCCTTTAATCCCAGCACTCAGGAGGCAGAGCCAGGCGGATCTCTGAGTTTAAGGCCAGCCTGGTCTACAGAGTGAGCTCCAGGACAGGGCCCAAAACTACAGAGAGAAACCTTGTCTGGAAAAAAAAAAAAAAAAAGGTGTTTTTTTCTGTGATGTGTGTGTGTGGTGTGTGCGCATATGTCTGCAGGTGCCAATGCATGCATACCTGGAGGCCAAAGGAGGATGCTGGGTGTCTTCTGTCACTGTCCACCTTATTCTTTCGAGGCAGGGTCCCTCACTGAACCTGGAGCTATGTTAGCAGCCAGCAAGCTCCAATGGCCCTCTCCTGTCTCGGTCCCTCACAGCACCAATATTTCAGGAGCCTCCAACCACATCTACGTCTTTTACACAGGCGAAAGGTTCTAAGTCTCCATGTTGTAAGCACTCTTAGCCACTAAAGCCATCTATCTCCCCAACCCACCCCCCCTTTTTTCTTTCTTCTTTTTGTGTGTATCTGTTTCTGTGTGTGTTCAGGTACACATGCATGTGGAGGGGCTGTATGAAGGCCAGTGTTTGACTTTGGATGTCTTCCTCAGTCATCTTCCACTGTCTTTTTTTTTTTTTTTTTTGGTTTTTCGAGACAGGGTTTCTCTGTGTAACTTTGTGCCTTTCCTGGATCTCGCTCTGTAGACCAGGCTGGCCTCGAACTCACAGAGATCCGCCTGCCTCTGCCTCCCGAGTACTGGGATTAAAGGCGTGCGCCACCACCGCCCGGCCACTGTCTTTTTGAGCAGAGTTTCTCACTAAGCCTGGAGCTGGCTGATTCAGCTAGACTCACAGCTGGCCAGAAAGTGCAGGGATTCTCCTGTGTCTGGGATTATGGGCTCCTGCTGCCACACACGACTTTTTTTTTTTTTTTAAAATGAGTGCTGGAGATCAAATTCAGGTCCTCAAACTTGCATGGTTAGTACATCTCCTCAACCTTTCTTTCTCTTCCCCTCCCTCCCCTCCCATTTGCTTCCTTCCTTCCTTCCTTTTAATAGGGTCTCATTATATAGCCCTGGCTGGCCTGAACCTTGCTGTGTAGACCAGGCTGGGTTCAAACTTGTGGTACCCCTCTGCTTCTCCCAAGTGGGGAGAGACCACCACACCAAGCTTGCCATTTTCTTGTGTGCTAGCATTTCCTGAATTTAGATGATCTTTATCTGCAGTTTCTTGGCAAGAATCTCTTGAAGTCATTTTTCTGTTTGCAAAGATTGATTTAGCTCAAGCCCAATAGTAATAGATATGTCATTTATAACGCAGCATAAACTATGATGTTTTACCATCTTTCTGACTACAATTCAGGAGCAAGGGAACCTTCCTGGCCCTTCTGGGGTGTCTCTCATCTCCGCTCCCAGAGGAGGCTCCACCTGCCATACAAAGCCAGTGAGTCCACGTCCAGCTATACATTAAAACAGTAATAGGGGCTCAGTGGTAGAGCTATGAGTTCTCAAACTCATCTTTACAAATAGTGATGGTTAGCTGGGTATGGTGGTACACGCCTTTAATCCCAGCACTCAGGAAGCAAGTGGAGCTCTGTGAGTTTGAGGCCAGCCTGGTCTACATAGTAAGTTCCAGGGCAGCCAGGGCTATGAAGAGAGACCCTGTCAAAAAAAGAAAAAAAAAAGTGACGGTTGCCGAAGTCTGAAGGGAATCCTCTGCCTCTGTCACTTCCACCTTCTCCGAATCCCCTACCCCCAGCCCCCAGGCGCCTGGCCATCTCAGCCTCCTCCTGAAACTTGCCTTTCTGTAAGATTCTTTGTAACCCTTTCTCCCTGGTCTCCAGTAAGGAGGCGACAACATGTCCAGCTGAGGGGCCATACATCATGGAGATTTCTCATTTCTCCTGTCATCCTTCCAAGTTGCTCTGCTTCCTAAGAACCTTCTTTTCTGTCTCTTGCCTGGCCATAGCTGGGGCCATTTGGCTCGCTGGCTTCCCTGTCACAATCCTCTCCCCCTCTCATTTACCCTCCACAGTGAAATCGTCCAACACACACGCTTGATTCGGGTGCCACCTTCGGAAGTCTCCTTTCACCTCATGCCTGTACTATAAGGTACAAAAGCTGCTGTCATTGTCACAGTGCTGGAGTTTTAACCCAGGGCCTCAAGTGCGTTAGGGGAGGGGACTGGCTTTGAGTTACACCCTAACCTCTAAAGTGCAAACTATTTTTATATATGATTTATTTTTTCTTTTGAGATAGGGTCTCTCTCCATAGTCCTGGCTGTCGTTCTCTGTGAAAGGCCACCCGTTGGCATTAGTGTCTTGAGAGCTTCTCTCCTGGGCTGGAGAGATGGCTCAGTGGTTAGAAACACTGGCTGCTCTTCCAGAGGTCTGAGTTCAATTCCCAGCACCTACATGGCAGCTCACAACCGTCTATAACTGTGGTCCTATAGGATCCGACGCCCTCTTCTGGTGTGCAGATGTACATGCAGACAAAACACCCATATAAAAACATCCAATAATGCCGGTAGTGGCGCATGCCTTTAATCCCAGCACTGGGGAGACAGAGCCAGGTGGATCTCGGTGAGTTCGAGGCCAGCCTGGTCTGCAGAGTGAGAGCCAGGACAGGCACCAAAAACTACACAGAGAAACCCTGTCTCGAAAAACAAACGAACAAACAAAACAAAAAAATCCAGTTACATAAAATAAAAAATTTTTAAAAAGAGCTTCTCTCCCACCTGCACTGCCCTCCATGACACACCTCCCCCTCTACACACACCGTAGCCAGCTTTAAGAAGCATCTTGTCGGGACCAGTAGCTTTGATTAGCTCTCTTAATCCTCCCCACAATGCTACTAGGCCACCACCTACAGCCATCTACTTTCCACAGATGAGGAAACAGAAGCATGAGAGAGTTAGTTAGGCACTGGTCCAGGGTCATGCAGCTGGTAGAGGAGAGTCAGGTTTCCTG